TTCCGATCCCCCCAAAACCCCAAAACCCCTTTTTGCTAAAATCGATGTGAATTTGAAGATGATATATATTATCTTTATAATTAATATTTAGAAAATATGGTTTTCTCCGACACTATTGCTTAAAAGTATGTAGACCCTGCCTACGAGAATGAAGTGTTCAGGTCAAGGCAGCACTACAAGGAGTTGCATTAGCATAACCCACCTCAAAGAAGAAACAGAGATTTCAAGCCAGTAAACTACGGTTCATTCAGAGGTATCCTAAACTTCAAGCATGCTGAACCATGGGCCATATTCAAGAACTTAAAGGACATTAGAGAAGAGCATCATAACCACCCCATAAAGTGGGCTAAGATCTTCTTCGGTGGAGCAGTTGCTGGTGTACTTCTCGGCTACTCCTGGTTCGTTGCTAAGCCATAATAAACCCTCCCACTAAGAAAGCTTTTCCAAGCAGCTGGTGAAAGACCATGGTCTGGCAGATATTTCAGGTAATGCATCTCTCAATAAATTAATAGCTTGACAATATTTTTATAGATTCTATAAGAACGTCTTACCACAATATGCTTTCTATGGTGGCACCCTAGCTCTTAGCTACCAACTTGTCTTTGATTATCTCAATCACCACGAGACCAATGGTGATAGACCAAGATTTGTAAATCACATGATTGCTGTAGTCCTTATCTCTACAGTTGTTGGAGGACTAATGGGCGGACTTCCCAAGTACGCCTTCGTGGGTTTCTTCACTTCACTACTTCTAACTGGCCCACTTTCTTGGTGGTTCCTTTCTACAACATCAAAATTCAATCAAAACCAGAGACCAGTAAACATCTTTTACGAGAACAACATCACTCCAGAGGAAGTTGAAAGAATTCAATAAATTGATGAAGTTGAAACTCTCGGCATCAGATTGAAGAATACCTCTACCTATGGATATTTCGTGAGAGATCAGAAGTACTTATGAAGAAGAAGGATTCGCGGACAAGCAAACATGCAGTCATATAAACTTATAAGAGTTTGCCTAGACAGCAGGTTTCATTTCAAACTTGCTTCTTAATATTTAAACAATAACATTTAATTGCAATTATTACAATATATTATTTCAGCTCGATAATATAGCTATACTTAAATTTGCATTTAATTTCATTTTTAATTAAACAATTAATAATGTCAAATACTGCTTTTTCACTTTTAAAATCTGAACGCTATAACAAATAGCCTTCTCCGTATAATTATTAGATAGACATAGAAAAGACTATTAGACTTGTTAAGAATATGAGCGCTTAGCAATTAAAGAAGAGCGAAACAAATAGTGAGAGGAAAAAAGATAAGTTATAAGTAGATGAAATGAATGATTCTGAGAGGTCAGAATTAAGCAATGAAATTAAGAAGAAAAAGAAGACACTCATCAAAAGAAATATTAGGCTATCTAATAAGTCCTACAATATGAATAATGCCAGCTTTTCTAGAAACAGATTTGATACTTCAGCCATTTAGTATCATAATAACACAATGAAGTAATAGGATATTGACAAGTTAGAATACTTGCGAATGCTCATAAAACCAAAAGAAAAATCACAAATGCAGGGAGCTCTTCTTTCCTAGTTTCAAAGCGAATAAATTAAAAGCGTTTACAAAGATAATAAAAGCCAAAAATCAAGTTAAAATTATAATAGGAATCTCAAATCATCCAAACAGGCAAATAATCTCACATTTTCAGAATATGGCTACCAGCAAAAAATGATTTTAGATGAGGCATTAGCTATTTAGAATCAGTCAAGTCTAAACGCAAACGCATAACAGCAAAAAATAATGGACCCTCCTGATTTTATAAGTATTCCATTAAAAGACTTCAAGATTCCAGAAAAGGCAGAGGTTAAAAAGCAGATTCTATCATTCAACAATTTTCAACCTAATCTAAACTTTGTCTACCCACAGAGGAAAAATAATCTTAGTTTGAAGATTCATAAGAGATTTATGAGCATTAAGAACCTGTAAAAGTAACTTCTAGAATCTGAAGTCAATTCATCTCAAAACAAAAAGATTATCATCCCATTGACAGTTTAACTGGATTAAATATAAGATCTCAAGATAATTTCTAGAAAAATTGATTAATCAATGACTCATAGAAGTAGAAAGATCAACAATAACCTTGAATATCTCAGAGCTATAAATACTTATTCAAAAAATAAAATATGCAGAGAGTTTCAGCAAGTTTAAATCTTAAATATCGAAAACACTTAATTAAGCTAATCTTAGGATCCGAGTTTCTAATCATCTAATAATCAAACATCAAAGATCAGAAGTAGAGCTTAAACAGCAACTCATAATCCCAGAAGCAGAGTAAATAAAAGTGGATTTTTAGATTCTAGGTATACTACAGCAAAGTAAAATAATGAGAATGAAGAAAATGGATAAGACAAGGATAAAGACTAACTCGAATAGTTATCAGAGTTTTAATTGAATGCTTATGTAAATGTACCTAAAGTTGACATTTAGAAAACTGAGAATTCTACATTTTACAGAACTGCTGATAAATCTTTGATAAACAATTAAGGCAGAAATAATGAGAGCGTTTCTGCCAATAAATCTCATAATAACTAAAAACCTAATTCTATTCGAAATGAATTGCGCGATACTAAAACTTCTAAGTTATCAAGAATTCACCAATAGGATAAAAAACCTCAATCAAAAATTTCAAACTCTAGTGGAATGATGTTTTATGTATCTAACCAAAAGAGAATAAATAATCTCAAGAAGTCTAGGCAGTAACAGAAGTTATAAAACTATAGTAATCCTTAGGAATTTTACTCTCTAAGCATGATTGATCACTAGTTTATGGACAAAACTAATAATTAGGGCATATATGGATAGCCATATAACCAAACTCTTTCCTCTATTTCTCAAGCGAACTCAGTCTTGTCAAATTCAGCTAGAAAACATAAAACCTCAACCAAGATTAATTAGCCAGGATTCATCTCATAGAGTATGCCACCTGATTCTTATGCCAAGCAACTTCGAAAGAATTATAGTAAAAAGCAGCATTAGTAAAAGTTAAATTCAAACGAAGTCCTCAGACCTATAGAATCTTTCAACATTACTGTGATAAATACTGATTCAGCTGATCCTATTCTGAAAAACAATGCAATTAACCAGCATCTTCATCACAAAGGCATACATTTGAAGTTGGATTTGAGCAAAAATATGAAAAATGCTGGCACCTACTTTGATGATGATATTATAAAGACGAGTGAATTGAATTAAAATTAAACTGGAACAAGAGAAGAGTTATAGGAGATTATGCCTCAGTCAATTTTTGATAATATAAAAATCACAAATAAAGAGTTAAATCTTGAACCGATTCAATAGCTCGAGTTAATGATTGACAGCTCAGCAAGAGAGGAATAATTTTAACTCTAGTAGCTTACTATGAGAAATTAAGACTAAGAAGAAACATCGTAGGAATTTGCAAGCCAAGTTAGAATTATATTTTGATATCAATGTAGAAAATTATATTATCATCTATTTTTTAATGTTTTTACAGATAAAAAATTTCCTTGGCATTGTGGGGTTTTGGGGTTTTGGGGTTTTGGGG